CCGGGCCGGGTTCAGCGCTCCGGGTTGGGTCCCGTGCTCTGGGCCGGGTTCTTCGCTCCGGGCCGGGTTTTCTGGCGTCTCTCTGATCTCCGCTGTGCCGGAATGTTAAGAAGTAGAAACATGAAATGGAACCTGTCATAGGCCTGTGTGAGAAGCCTCAGATGGAAGCTGCCACTCTGGGACCTCAGTGCTCGCACACACAGCCCGGAGGTGCCCCAATTTTTCGTGCCCACTGACCAGGGGACCATGTTACATACTCCTGACCCCCGGACTGTATACAGAACATTGCACCCGCCATCCCCCGATTCCTGGCTTCAATGTAAGAATTATTATGTCGCCCGGAATAAATACGTATAAAGCTTCCTATGGAGGATATTTGTGTTCTGTACCAGATGATCCGCCAGAAATCCGGTGAGCTCTGAACTTCCTGTAGGGAGGGAGCTGACACCATTGTACCTCCCCTGCACTCAATTCCCAGCCCGTTTTGTCACCCCAGCCCAGATCTTTTCTGCCGGACTACAGAATATCTCCCCCATATATATATGGGAGGTGAGGGGGGGAATCATGGCGATGATGAAGGGGTGGGGTTATGTAGATGAGAGATGGGTGGGGTTATGTAGATGAGGAGTGGGGTTATGGAGGGGGTGGGGTTACGGATATGAGATGAGTGGGGTTATGGAGATGAGGAGTGGGGTTATGGAGATGAGGAGTGGGGTGGGGTTATGGAGATGAGGAGTGGGGTGGGGTTATGGAGATGAGGAGTGGGGTGGGGTTATGGAGATGAGGAGTGGGGTGGGGTTATGGAGATGAGGAGTGGGGTGGGGTTATGGAGATGAGGAGTGGGGTGGGGTTATGGAGATGAGGAGTGGGGTGGGGTTATGGAGATGAGGAGTGGGGTGGGGTTATGGAGATGAGGAGTGGGGTGGGGTTATGGAGATGAGGAGTGGGGTGGGGTTATGGAGATGAGGAGTGGGGTGGGGTTATGGAGATGAGGAGTGGGGTGGGGTTATGGAGATGAGGAGTGGGGTGGGGTTATGGAGATGAGGAGTGGGGTGGGGTTATGGAGATGAGGAGTGGGGTGGGGTTATGGAGATGAGGAGTGGGGTGGGGTTATGGAGATGAGGAGTGGGGTGGGGTTATGGAGATGAGGAGTGGGGTGGGGTTATGGAGATGAGGAGTGGGGTGGGGTTATGGAGATGAGGAGTGGGGTGGGGTTATGGAGATGAGGAGTGGGGTGGGGTTATGGAGATGAGGAGTGGGGTGGGGTTATGGAGATGAGGAGTGGGGTGGGGTTATGGAGATGAGGAGTGGGGTGGGGTTATGGAGATGAGGAGTGGGGTGGGGTTATGGAGATGAGGAGTGGGGTGGGGTTATGGAGATGAGGAGTGGGGGTGGGGTTATGGAGATGAGGAGTGGGGGTGGGGTTATGGAGATGAGGAGTGGGGGTGGGGTTATGTAGATTAGGACTGGGTGAGGTTATGTAGATTAGGACTGGGTGAGGTTATGTAGATGAGGGGTGGAGTTATGGATGAGGAGTGGGGGTGGGATTATGGAGATGAGGAGGGGGAGGTGTCTTGTAGTCCAGGAGAGAACTGGGGTGACAACACTGGTTGGGATTTCCGCACAGCAGAGGTACGATGGTGTCAGCTCCGTACAGGGACTGTGGAGCTCTCTGGACTCTGCGGTGATATAATGGAACACTGGAAGCACACAAACTATGAGAGTTATCCGGGGCGACCATTGCCTGGCTGACCTGGAACAAGCATGCAGCAAGTGAAGTCAGATCTGGACATTTCTTTCTGGTCAGTAAGTCCGAGTCCGCTGAAGCCGGAGGATCGGAATGACACCATTTCGGAGAGGTTAACCCTTTATTTCTCTGTATCCTGGTGCTTAGTAACCGCTTTGTGTCCGTTCATTACACAGAGATAGGAAGTCTTCCTGTGAGGTGAACGGATCCGGCTTCTGATTGGCTGAGACTTTGTTCCGGATACAATGTAACGTTTCTGGGTGAATGTTCTGGAGGCGGCCCATGTCCCCCCATTGTATACAGCGTGTGTGTCTTCTCCCCGCAGGTAGGGGGCGCTCACCTGCTCTGTGACCTGCTGGGGGTGATGCGGAGAGCTCAGGAGATGTGCGCCGAGACTCTGACCAATCACAGCCTGTCTGGGGGCGGCCGGCAGCTGGAGGAGGGTGAGTGACGCAATGGGAACCGCTGAGATTGTCTCCTTGTTCAGCTTGTTGTGGATTCACCGGGAGTGAATGTTTCGGGCGGATTGACCTCCCGACGGGTGAATGATCCGACCCGACCGTCGCCCGGCTGCAGGTATTGGGATTGTCGGGGGGGACGCACAGCTTTCTAGTGGGGGGAGGAGCATCAGAGTCCGCGGGTCCACACCCAGTCTGAGGTCGCCGCATGCCGAGGCTCAGACGGCGACGTATTTCACTTCCGGGATCATTGATCGGTGTCGTTGTGTTTCAGGATGTTCCGGAATGTGGGACAATATCAGCTGCTGGCCGCCCACCCCCCGGGGCCAAACCGCGGCCATCCCCTGCCCCGAGATCCTGCAAATCATAACCGGCATCAAAGGTGAGATATCACCCCCCCAAGAAGAAGATACTGCCCTGCCCCGCCCCCTCCGGGGTATCACCCCTCCCCCCCGGGGCCAAACCG